ACACAAAAACTGTAATTTCTTCCCAAGAACTGCATTCCTCAAATGAATGTGTGCTGATCTGTGTGAAGATACACAAGCATGAAATAACTAGAGTTTTAGAAAATTCTGTAAATAATGGATGCCAGAGCACTATACAGTACTAAGTTTATAAGTTAGGTGCTTGCATAACATCAGGAATCCTCGATGTTTTGCTTCTATTTAAATGCGTTTGTGTGGCCTCTGTTTCAGCATAGGACCGAAGAACACTGTCTCAGCACATCCTTCAGTGCCTTGGAAAGGCTACCATGGCAACATTCACTTACTTAATGTTAATTTGAATTAATTTAACTTGTGCTGCTAAATAGTTTGTATGGATTGCATTCTTACCAAAGTAAATTTAATCCACAAAAAGAGTAAATGCAGCATATTAGGACAGGAAATTAATACTCTCTCATTTAATTTTCTTTTCTGTGTCTTATGCACATCTCTAAAATTATATCTGAATTATTTTACTATACACATTTAACTTTTCTACTATTTAAATTACATGTACAGAAAAAAGATAAAGTGCTTACTCATGTTAGTCGATTAACTAAAGCTATGCCCCAAGTTATTTACAAACAATGTAATGAAGGCAAGTAATGCTCCTACTTATTTATCATAAATGAGTTTGGTATAAAAGCTTCAAAAGAGCTTTTTCATATAAAATTCTTTATTTTTCTCTAATGATAATATTAAGCTTATTACAGTTACCTTGTAAAAGGGAAGAAAGAAAAGGAGAATTTGCATTAAAAATCTTCTGGTTTATTAGGGTTAGGCTGAATAACGTAGTAGGTATAAACACAAACTCATGCTTCTTAAATCTTTCCCTAAAGGATGATGGTTATGAAACCAAATACATCAGACATAACATCAGTGGCATGGCGAACTCTGAGCTCAGTACAACAGACAACACAGCAGAACATTTGAAACTAGGACTTCAGTGAACAGTGGTAACAGTTCACAGCATGTGATTTCTTTTGTCAGGTTTTCAGTGAGGTCGGATCTTGCATTATATACTCTAACAAAATGTGTTCTATGTTAAGGTTTGGGGATTGCTTGCTCCAGTTTTATTTCCTCACACATTGCTTGCCCTAGAAACTGAGCTCAGTGTGGAGAAGGAAATCACCTGTGAGACATGAGCCTATTAAATAAATCCACAGACTATATCTTCAGCCACTTAAAAAGCTAAGTGAATCTGTTTTCTTCAAGTCAGTGCTTATCATGGCAATCCTCAAAGATGTTTCATAATTACACAGGGGCACAGAAATGTCAAGACCTTTTTAAACAGAAAAATAACGTTTCTATGGGTTCTGAGTTATGCAAAAAGGTAAGGAATTCAGAGATTTCTTTTAAACTGACGAATACAAACAAGCAGACACAAACAGAAGTGAGCATTTGCTCTCTTCTTTTGAGTCTAAACTCTGATGCTGAGCACTCACTAGCTCCTATGATCATGAGTCATTTCCTGGGAGGAACTCAGGAAGGTATCTATGTGGACCTAAATGAATGAGGCCAGCAGTAAGTTCTCTTAGCAAGGCAACCTTCAGAAAAAATGTTTACTGGGAATGATGTATTGTTCATACAATTGTTCTCTTAGATACAAAGATATAACTACGTGATAGAAATTATGATGTGTAGCCTAGCTTTCTTTTGTCACATAATCAGAGTGGAAAATGAATTACATTGGTCATATACAGCATGATTTTCAGAATTTTTTCATATACAAACATTCATGGTGGAAATACATTCAGTGATCTAAATTTATCTAGTCTGTTTTGTATTCAATAAAGTAAAAGAAATTTAAATACATCTAGTTTACAAATGAAATTCTTTCTATAACATAAATATATGATACCAATAAAAAGGGAAAAATCTTTTTCAGATAATGTGTTCTCCTAATATTACAACCCCAACAGTTACATGAACTATTTGTTTATTTCTTAAAATTTTAGTGCATGATTCTCAAATAGATTTGAAAAACATGTAGATTAGAGTACGCAATTGTCCAGAGCTATTTAATTTTTGTATAGTTCATATACTTGGTAATGACCTTGTAAATGAATACTAGTCCCTTCTACAGATCTATAGATTAAGATTCTGTTTAGGAATGCAAGAGAGATGCCTTAGGATTTCTGTAAGTTCTACTGACCCTATACTCTCATATTAAGGTATGAATATGCCTTAGTATGTTTCGGCTAATCAGTTAAATTATTTTCCTACTATGTTGTTAAAATCCCTCATTTAATAAAGATTCTAACTTTAAAATAGATACAAATAATGAGCTTGTTTATTTTCTAAGAAAGAAACAAATGCAATTTCTCTCTGAAAGTGGGCATATACACTGCAGTTTTTAGTTTTGCTTTTTAATTGAACTTTAATTTCAGGTAACAATAAATACATATGCAATGGTTAGAAACAACATAGAGGGAAATTGAGGACCTTTTTCAGCATTCCCTGGGGATGATGACTTACAAAATTAGAGAACTATCACAACTGTGCTATTAGCATTGTCATAGTCAATATACAGAACATTAGGCTCCCACTTGCTGCCCTTTTAGAGACATAAATTCTCCCCTGAAATTCTCTCCTTAGACCCTAGTAATGACTAACTTGTACTCCACTTCTATGATTTTATCATTCCAAAAATATTACACATGTGGAAACACTCAGTACATGTTCTTTTGGGATTGGCTTTATTGTATTGCCTTCCCTCTACTATACTGCATGTAGATATACTCACCCCTAATTCATACTTAAAATGAGTCTTGCATTAAGTGATCTCTGAGATTCTGAAGTAAATGCTGAATGATGATGACAATCATGATTCTGGTTCCTCACATTTGCATCTATTTCAATATCTGTCATACATATTTTCCTCTCTGTGAATGGTACTTAGATAGCATATGTGCTACCAAAGGAGTCAAGATTGTAAAATACAGCTTCAGATTCTATTGCTCTCCCAATCTTTAGCATCTCCTCTAGATTCTAGAAGAACAGGAACTCATCTTTCCTCCCACTTGTGCTCAGTCCTTCATCTATGGAATCAGAACACAGTTCATTCGGGTGCTCTTTCTCAGTGACTTCTAATTAGATATAATTTGTCCACCTTTAAAACTTCATAATATTTATTTTTCAGTTATAATATGGCAATAATTATGTTTGGCATCCTTTATACTCTAGCTACTGGGTTGAATCACATGAAATTACTGTGATTTTAATCTGTATTTTTTACTTCAAAAATGATACATAGTGGATTAACAATTGTTGTTATCTTATTATTTTGTTATAAAATTTTGTTTTATTTTTCATACTAAATGTGGTTTTTTTTGGATTTAGGGCCCCAAATAAAGAACAGTCTCTATGAAGACAGAAGCTTAGTTTTCCCTTCCTTTAAATCCTTCAGAAGCTAAGAACATTGGAAGTGTTTAGGGGATGCCTGAAAAATAAAGACTCTTAAATCAGTAAATATTATATGTGTAGATATTTGTAGGTATCACTGGTCTATAGCAATCAGTCTAAATGAATATGAAATTGCTAACTGTCTCACAAATCAGCCCCCATAGTAGAGCTGAGCAGCTTTTAAACCTGAAAATTCTGAATATATGATGTTTGGATTTAAGGCACTGTTTTAAATCATTTATTTGTGAAGGAGACATTCTTGGATTTAGCGGTTGGTAGATACAGTGAAAAGTTTTTCGTTGACTGAAATAAAAAAAAAAAATCAAACACTTTTTAGCACGTGCACTTCCCTTATAAAAACAAATTGCCTAAAAGCAAAGCACAGCAGTTTGTGCACAATGAGTATGTGCCTCCCCAGCAGCAGCAGGAGAGGCAGGGAGAATGACAGGAACAATTTGCATTTCTATGGCTCCTTTGTATACCCACCTTCCACACACTTTTCACAAAGTGGCTTCAAAAAAGAGTGACAGGAAGTCCATGCAAGGACAGCTTGGACTGAGTAGTTAGGTACAGAATCCCAGAAGGACAGCAGTGGTTCCCACACAGCTGTAAATAGCACAGTAATTAATGGGTGCTGATTAACAGAAGGCGAACGTGTGTTCTTCACCATCACCCAAGCCATCCGTGGGTAAGGATTTTTCTTTCTTGCTTTTCCAGTCACTGTACTACAGGTAAAATACATCTGCTGATTTTCTCAATAATCATTGGGCTCTTCCTCTAGCTGATGACACTGTTCATTGCTTGCCTAGCCAGTTCCTCATATCCCTACAAAAATCGCTGCTTCAAAAGAAGGCTACACAGGGATGAGCAGTGGATATGGCTCCAGTGAAGCAGCAGCGTCTTCAGAGAACCTTAGAAACCCTGAGCAGGAGAGAAGAGACCACTGCTCATTCTGTAATGTGTCGAGGGCTCTTTAAGAACAACTTTACTGAGCCTTGGGAAAGCTACACACAAAGGTGTTCTCCTGCTCTGCTCCTACCTTCCTCCTCCACCAGCTCAGCAGCTGTGTGACTCTGATTCTGAATCTGGGCAGGGAAGTTCTCAGAGCCACCCAGAATAAAAGAGCTCTGTTTCTCACAGCAGCAGCCTGACTGTCCTCCAGGGGTCACAGTCGGGTTATAAATCCCTCACAGTGCAGGGGCTGAGCAGCCTGATTGGGTGCAATTTATTCGAATCTGTCTTCATTAAAATTCAAATAGAATAAGTAAGCTAGCAATTGAACAGACCCTGAAATTGTGCCTTGCTGCTCTTGTAGTCAGTAAACATTTATTCACTAAGCATAGCTCCTGAGTTCTCTCTTTCTCCTCCTCTCAGTTGCTCCTCCAATCTTTCCCGCTTGCTGTTTCATTTCATAATTAAGAAGGTCAGAATTAATGAAGCAGTGTGTACTAAAGTTCAAGGAATCCCCAGGCACTACTTATTCTATTAGAGTTGAGGCACGAATGTCAGATTGGCCGCATAAGCCACATCAACAATAAGGCTCACTACATTCCAGGAACTACCCACCCAGGGAGACTCACCTGCACTGTCAAGTCGTTCCAGAGCTCCTTCCCCGCGAAAATCACACGCAGCTGGTCAGTTGGAACCCCCTGTCGCTTAGCAACCACTTCTTTGAGCTGCAAGATGCTGGTATCAGAATTGACCTCCACTGGGAAACCATGGCTGGAGTTGAATCGGACAAACACTAACCAAGAAAATGGAAAGGGAGAGAAAAATAATCACTCAAAGCCCTTAAATGGCAACCCCAATATGTCTGAACTAACTTCCCCCTCATCTGTCCTTCAATAAATGGCATATATTTTCTTTCACTTGTAACTGAAAACTTAACAGTAAAGCAATATTTGGAAAAAAAAAAACAAGTTTCCCCGGGAGATTTCCCTTTCATATAATAGTCAGTGACCCACAAACCAAAATTCCATTCTCTCTTTGACATCCATCCTGGGAAACAGAAGGACTCAAGCAGAACACTTGCTTGATTGGAATAGTGAGATTCCCACGAGTTTATCAGAGACTCAGCTCTGACAGCCTGAACCAACTCTCAGTTCCTCCAGAGTGGCCCTGAATAAAAATAAAAGGCAATGTGCTAGAAGGCAAGAAGGCAGGGAGAAAATTCAAGCCACTCTATGGCCTAGAGGCCATGTCTAGAGCTCTGAACTTTGGAGGTCCTGGTCAAAAGTCTCCACTGGTTCTATGAAGACAATTATTCATGTTCTATTTTAAAATTAATGATTTTGTTTCTCTTATTGGAACCACATGTTCCCATGAGATAAAGGCGGGAACCGAAAGTCTTTTGCCTACTGTCTTGTCATTTCAATTACCATGCCACCTTTTATACATGCCCGATGTTACAATTTATATGCTTTTTCTAAGCCCTTCAATGATCTGATCACGTCATTATTATCCTTATTATCATCCTTATGTCATAAGTGAAACAATGAATAAAAGCCCAGAGAATTGTAATAAGTTTCCTAAGGACATTATCTTCTTTATAAAATCAGAACTCAGAATCAGTTTAATCCGACTCTCAAGCTTATCCAGAGAATTGTCTACCTTTTTCCTTATGATAAGAAAGATCAAGAACAGCACAAACAGGTTTTCTAACATAATTCAGATATTCCTTACACAGGTGAGCAGTAGAAATATGAGGTTAAAAACAAACAAATAAACATACAAAAAACCCCAAGAAACAAAAAAAACCAGAGCTCCAGGGAGAAACTAAGACCAAAGAACAAGGAACAATAGAGATAAGACATATGAAATGATGAAAGCACCACAATGAGAAGAGGTTGCCCAGAAGACAGTGTAAGAGCAAAAGCCCAATATATTCTACCAACATAGAGAATATTTTTGAAAAGTGAAGACTGGAATTGATCAAAGCATCCCAAAAAAGAAAATTCATGACAAAATACCCAATGCAGAGAAAAGGCTACTTTTGATGTACTTTTAAGTAGATTTCATTCCACAACTTTGAAAGTAGAGAGGAAAAAATAAAAATGTATTAGGACCCTTGACACATTTTCATAGCATCCTCAGATCAAAGACAGTAAGACAAGCAATTCACCAGGTGAGGCACAGGACAAGCAAGGGGGGCTACACAGGATAAAGATGTGGTCCAGCTCTAAACCAGACTTTCTTTTACAATGAAGAGATTTTTAGAAAAGTAAACACCATAGCAGGGGATACAGAAAAAAGCAGCTGGGAACTATACAAAAGCTATTACAGCAGTGGATAAAAAGTCTAGAAGATCCCAAGTTCACAGGATTTTCCAGGTGTACATCATGGGAATTCTACTGCAAAGGCAAGAGATGTAAAAAAAATTTAAGGAAAACCAAACAAAAAAATATACCAGGGAATCTTGCACAACTGCTCTAGTGATTAGCACCCTAAGGCTTCTTTTGTTATGAACAGACAAAATGAAGTTTTAAAGTTAAGTTCAATTTAGGTAAATCATATAAATGCATCAGAAATGAATATTTTTGAATAGTAAGTCTGAGAAATAATGTAAATATATGATGGAAAGATTAATCAAATACATGGCAGGTATTTGGTCAACTGAAATATTTGCACAAATATGAAGAAATGTTTTAAGCAAGTGACCTGGTCATTAATCAAAGGTCATATGAAAAATGACTAGTGTATTTTCAGCAGAGTCTCAGTCTTTTTCTGACAAATGCGAGAAATGTGTCATATTCCATTTGTATTAGCTCCTTAACTCCAGCCATGATTCCCCAAGAGGAGAGGAGGCAAGCACCCAACACTTTCAAAATGTTTTTACAGCAAGGAAAAGGGAAATTTGAATCCTGGTGATACCACTCACTAATTTTAAAATTTAGGACAAATCATCTGGTTTCCTTGACTCTTACCTTCCTTAGCCGCTAAATGCAGATAGCACATAACCTCCAAGGCCTGTTATGTAAAATTTGAGATTATGGGTACATTAGAAAATTTCAGAAACAGTCCTTAGTGCCAAGCCTATACTCCTGGTACAGAGCAAGTCTGTGCTCCAAAAACAGTTACCAAATTTTAAAAACTACCCAGGGTAGAAAGAACTACTCAAAGCAGCACTCACTGTCTGTATTGTAACTAAAGCAGATTAGATGGGAAGTAGTAAAATACCACAACAGAAAAATTTTCTGGTGTCTGTTTTTCTTGATCATGAACAAAGAACTTCTAGGGACATAAGTATGACAGAGATTTGACTTGTCTCCATTTTCGTGGTTTAATTAATATTATTTTGTTGAGCTGGATGTGGAGGGCATATGTTTGTAATATTAGCATTCTAGGGGAATACAGCAGAAAGACTGCAAATTTAAGCCCATCCTGGGAAACTTAGTGACTTAGCAGTATCTTGTATCAAAATAAAAATTTAAAAAGGTTAGCTTAGTGTACAGGCCTTAGGTTCAGTCCACGTACTGTGAAAAGAATGAAGTTTGCATTTTTTAGTAATATTTATTGTAGTATCATAAGTAAAAACCATTTCAATAAATGTCACCAATGTTTATTATTAATAAACATTATAATGCAATGATAAGAAAAAAGATTAGAAGACACATAGACCTTCATTTATGTTACACCTAACCAGGCTTCAGAAGTCCAAGAGGAATAAGGAAGTAAGCATGAGGAAAGAAAGAAAAGGATCACTGATTGATGGTGCTTACATCTCTTTCAGTGTCATTTTGTGTATTCTTGCCACAGTGTGACTTTTTGGGTTATTATTATAGACATTTAGTTTCATTCATAGAGGATTATGGTTCTTACACAATCTTGGATGTTTCCATACAACCATTTTCCTCTTTTTGCATGGATAGCGCCTATGTGATTTAGGAGGAGCTGACTCACCTAGGAGTGGTTTCTGATTAGTCGATACAGTCTCATATTCCTCGTCATGGGTTCAGCAACTACTCAGTAGACAGGCATAAACCCATCAGCGCTGCCATGCCTTCTTCTGATCAGAGTGATTCTCTGGAGCAGAGATACTAGATGGTGGACCAATCAAGCTGAAGTTCAGGACTGGCAAAGATTTGTTGAACAAGTACTTTCAGATGGCAAGGAACATCATGTGAGGCCAAGATGTTTTTACTGACAGAATAAAAATATAGCTCAAGAAAGACCATTCATGTCAGTGTGTATAAAGCCAGCTTCCTCGAGAAAGAATCCATTGTACTAGGATGGGTGTTTAGTTCCACACACATCCCAGTATCATGAACACTCCCTAGAAACAGTGGCACCCAAAAATAACTCCACACATTTCCAGATATCCCTTCGTGATGGCATTTCTTCACCATCACTGAGGGTTATCACCAAGTGTATAGTCTCTTTCTTTACTAAACAAACAAACAGAAACACACTATGTCCTCACTTCCCCTCTATGTACTACTACATTTTCTTTTTTCTATTTTTTTCTTTTTTTTAAGACTAAGTCTTGCTTAGCAGTACCAGCTGGCCTTGAACTCACTATGTAGCTCACTCAGGCTGGTCTCAAACTCATGGTGATCCTTCTTCTGCCTCCTAATTGCTGGGATTACAGACATGTGCCACCACCTCTGGTTTACCCCATTTTCTGTATGGAAAAACTACAGAATTTCTTATACTTTAGTTCTCTATTTTTTAAAAATTTTACATTGGTAAACCACATAATGCTCTTGGCAAAAAGCAAGGGCTACTACATCTCTAATCCCACTATAACTTTTCTCTTTTTATCATATTTGACCTTTCAGAAATATTAAATACTGTAGGCTCCAGTTCTTAATTAATTATTTTCCCTTGACATCTCCATCCTCCTAGCCTTCCCCTAGAACAAAGGACAGACTTGTAGCATCATCTACTAAATTCTCCTTTGTGAGACTTGTAGATGTTAGAGAAACAAAATATTCTTGCAGTAAGTAGAAAGACAGGACAGAGAAATCAATACAGAAAACAAAAGAATCACGGATATTTGAGAACTAAATTTATGAATTTTAGAGAACAGGAGACCTCTCTCTATGTATTTCACCTAATTCCATGGTAGTAGCACAGTGCTATGGCATTAGCTACCATAACTTCATTGCCAGACTTGCCATCTCCATGGAACTCCAGATACCTGTATCAATTAGCAATTGAGACCTTTCACATGGGTATCCATGGATATTCCACGTGGATCACCAAAGTCCCTATCAAAACCACTCATGGTTTCTCTCTGTCTCAGAGGGAAATTCTTACATCTTACTCTGAATCAAAGTCTTTATGGTCAGCGTCTGACAGCATCTTCCAGGTCATTTTAGACCACTGTCCCACACAGGCACCACCCTCTGGCAATGTGCTCTCTCCACTCTTCACATATGTCAACCTTATCCTCACCAGGGCCTCTGCTTGAGAAGATGAAATCACAGAAGGTAGATGCGGCATCCAGTAAACAAGACCTGCATGAATCCCAGTTTTTACATTCATTCTTTAAAGCATTTGGTTTTTAAAATACTGAGTATAAATATGTATATAAAACATAAATAAATGTATATGTATATCATTTGTAATTGTTCATTAGACTTAGATGTCATAGACATACACAATATAGACATAATATCCATGTCCATATACATAATATACACACGTACATTCCACTCACAGTATTTTTAATGTGGATATATAAACACATACACATGTACATAAAAATCATTACCCATACATATTCTTTTGTTCTATTTCTTA